GCCAAGACAGCTGAGGGGAGGGGGAATGCCGGGGGCAACTGGAGGAAGACGGAGAAGGAACGTAGAGAACCTTTTGATGCCACGAAAATTCTCAGAGTATGCACACATCCATACTCAGTGATACGTTACAATTATTGATGTTGACACAGGAGTTCAGGGAGTTTGAGTTTGGACAGATGCCTCTTGAGACCCTTCACCTGTCCAAGAGGAAAGAATATGGACCAGATGGTTTCTATAGATGTGTGCAGAACTATGCTCTATCCCAGATTGTACCCAATGCTTGTTCATGATAATCATTATGTTTCTGTGGACACCCGCCATTTGACAAGTAGCACAGTTCAGCTACCATCTGTGGAGGCGTGGTGTGCCATCAGTGAGCAGTGTACAACTGCTGCAGTTGTCTGGAGAACGTTAGAGAGCATACACAACAAGTCTTGTGTCTAGTCAAGCATACCTCGTTATCCTCGCAATATTTTCCATCAGTAGCTCATTCTCTGCTGCCAACTCCTCTTTCTCTTCCAGCAGTGAAACCAGAGACCTTGAGAAACCTGCAGGGAGGGAGTTAAAACTACCAGTCTTTGCTACAAAACCGCTACCTTTGAGTTTAGTCTCCAGAAGTTGGACAGTGTGTTTCAGTTGGGGAATGCTCATAGTGTAGAGGGGAGAGAACGAGGCATGATCTATGGACTTCACTGCTGCTCCAGTGGTTTTGGCAGCCTGTGAAACTCTGTTGCTTGGCTTGTTTGAGTCTTTCTGCTTCACCTCTTTTGTCTCTGGATTGGGTCTGGTGTGGTGAGGGAGGGAATATTGGTCCAGAATTGATGGGTTGGGCCCGAACACCTCATCATCATCATACTGTAAGTCTCCTGGACTAGTTGGTCCCCAGGCAAACTGGGTTTTGGTGATCTTCTCTGCCTCAGGAAGACGGGCATTCACTCTTTCCCTAACCATTGTCTCTTCAGCTCTATCTCTGCTCTGCAACACTAGAGGTTCATCCATTTTATGCCACATACTGCGAGGTGAGTTCTGATCATCATTGTCACTACTGCTGTCTGACACCTCAACAAATGAGAGACGATACTTGTCTGCTGTGCTTCCCTTCACACTACCATTTCTAGAACACGACTCCTGAGGCCTTAGTAGCTCTAGTATAGTCTGTCTTCTAGAGTGGAGGTCAGACACCTTCAGGTCTCCAGTTCTCAATATGGGATCTGACAAGGCAGGCGAGGCGGAGCGACTTGGAGAAAAACCGGTCCATTCTGGCGAAAATTCGTACCCAGCATCGTCTTCAAGCGGCCGTTGCCGTCGTTTCGACAAGACTTCCTGGACGTGTAGCGCGAGAGACTCTACCGCGGCCAGTTGGGCGGCCGCCGAGCGAGGTTCCAGCAGAGCACGGTCCAGCTGGCACCGGCCAGGCTCCAGGATCCCTCCATACAACTCCAGACAGTAGCTGAGACTGTTTTCCTCCAGAGTTGGACTGCCTGACAGGCCTGAGTCAGTACGCAAGCTGTTGGCTTCCATTTTTCTTGCTCTGGAAGAAGGGGGAGGGGCTGCCGTTTGCAGTACGCTTGCGCATAAACGGAATAATTTACGGAGAACAACGGAAAAGTATGTACATGTCTACAGCGTCGTCCTATGCAGTTTCCACTTCCTCTACACGCTGTTGCCTGCTCAGTCTGGCACTGAGGGAAACCGATACAGTTTGCAGGTACTCCTGGGTAGCTGGAAAGTCGGTCCTGATCTTGTCAACCACAGCTTGAAGAGAGCGCAGTTTCTGCAGCTGTCTTTCTTCCTCGACCTCCCGACCTTCCTTGGACTTGGCCATCAGTCGATACCTTCCATCTTTGGCAGCCACTAACTGCTTGTATTTTGCCTGCTCTGAGTATAACTCAGCCATCCCCTGGGGACACAGACACCATAATTAATCCACCGACATAATGATGATGTAATAATCACCTGGGTTTTATTCACGAGGGACTGAGTGGTCTCCGTCTCCAGCTGGTTCAACTGAGACTGCAGACTCTGACACATTCCCTGCTGTCTTTCCAGATCTCTCTCCACCACAACAGCATCTTCTGACATTGCCACTGACTCCTTTTCATACCTGCACACACACACACACAGAATGAGGAAGAGGTGCAGACATCGTGACTCACTTGGCAGTGTCTCTTCCCGTCTGTTTGATTTGCCTCTGAAGATCTGTGATCTTCTTCTTCATGTGACCTTGAGTTCCCTCACTCTTGCCTGCCATCACCTGGACCTCACTCCTGAGGCCCACAGCTATGTAGTCAACACCCACTCAGAGGACTCGTATACACTGACTTGAACTGAATGGCCTCCCTGCGGTAGACGGCTTTCTCCATGTCCTGGATCATCTTCTCCTGCTGCCTCATCAGCTGATTGTATCGTACCTACAGAGAGCATGGCATACTATATGGTGAAGTAGTGTGGGTATATAGGACAGACCTCCATGCGATGGATCTCAGCCTGCATGGCTCTGATGTCAGCCTGGCCAGTCTCCGAGTCCACCATTTCTCTCATCTCCTTGGCCAGAGTGATCTTCCTCTCCCACAGCATTATCTGACGTCTGAGACCATGAGGTATAGCACACTAGTCAGTCAGGGTGTCCAGTCTTACTCTGCCTCCACCAGGCTGTTGAGAAGCCTCTCCTTCTCCTCTTTCAACTGCTCCACCTTAGTCTGTGTCTGGATACACTCCAACTCTGACTCCTGAGAGAGACAGACAGAGAGAGAGATGGGTATCAGCTGATGACTCTGTGGACCAGGAACACCTTGAGAGCGTGCACAAAGTCATTCTGCATGAGGAGGTTGTCCTGCTCCAGTCTGGTCTGCTCTCCACTCTTCTCAGAGATGAGAGTGCAGAGTCTCCGCATTTCGTGCTGCAGACGAGATATGCTCTGTTCCACTGACACTCTCTCCTTCTCTTCCCTCTCCAGCTGACCTGCAGTTATCATCACACTTCAGTGTTCTGTGACGTGTTTGTAACTACTGGTGTATGGGGAGCCCCTACCATCAATCCTCATCTTCTTTTGCTGCAGTATCAGCTGCTGTTTCCTCAGACAGTCCACAGCTCGGGCCTCGTCCTCAGCACCTCTGGTCTTCCTCACTAACTCATTCTGCTGCCGCAGCCAGAAGTTCTGGAGGCCGGCACAACGCTCCACACTGTCTGAGATCTGCTTCTGGAGAGTGTCGATCTTCAGCTCCAGTGGCCCCAGGTCCTCTCCCTGCGGCGGGGGAGGGTCAGAAAGTCCCTAACTGTGTACAGGTCTGGCTTACCCCATCCAGTTTGGCCACTCTCTGAGAGATCTTCTTGTTGAGCTGGTCAATCTGAGTCTGCTTCCTCTCAATGAGAGCATTGTTGTGGCCAATCTCTGTCTCTGACTGGGAGATGAACTTGTTCTGTTTGTCCATTGCCTCTTGCTGCCTGTCCAGACTGCTCTGCAGTCTCTTCATCTCGGCTGAGAGGCTCGCCACCTGCAGCAGAGTCTTGGCTATGTCATTCTCTACCTCCACTGCTGCCGTCTCCTGCCACACCAAGGAAAGAAACTCAGTCGATGTCTGACCTCCACAAATACAGAATTGCTTCTTACCAACTTTTCCTTGTGAGCCTGGAGCCCCTCCACTGATCTCCTGGTGTACTGTGTGCTCTTGTCCATAGTCAGTTGCTGCATCATTTTCTCCATCACTACATCCTCCAGCTTCCTCTTCTCCCTGGCCTCTCTCTCAGTCTGAGTCCTCACTGTGCCCAGCTCATTCCTCTTCAGACTGCAGTCCTGAGCAATAGGGTCCACTAGAACACATGCACACTGCACAGAGTCAGCCACACACTGTGTTGGCTCTGGCAAGGGCCTGCTCAGTTTCCTGCAGTGTCCTAGTGAATGTTGTGTACTCTGTCTTCAGCTCCTCGTGTCTGCCGTGGCTGAGTGCCAGCTGGCGCTCCACGTGGCCAATGTCTGCACGAAGCTGTTCACAAGAGAAAGAGGGACAAAGTACATGAAGAAGGAGCCTCAGGGTCTGCTCACCTTGTTGAGCATGAGAGTGAGTTGCTCATTTCTCTCCTGCTCCTGTGTGGTGCTCTTTCGGTAGTTCTCAATCTCAGTTTCAAGACTACGGATCTGCTGCTTCTGCACACTACACAGTGTGGCAATCAATCACTGGATACCCTGCAATATAGTGTCTAGTGACCTGACAGCAGCTAGTATAGCAGCATAAGCTTCGTCTCTTCTCCTCATACCAATGAGAGTACTGTTCCACTGCTGAAGTAGCTTCTTCTTCTCCAACAGCAGAGCCTATCACGTGGCAGTTGGAACAAGTGGGTGAGGGACAATCTGACTGGACTCACCTCCAACTCCAGACTGGCCTCAGTCAGATTCTCTTTCACTGCCTTTGTCTCGTGGCACTGGGCACTGTGCTGGGCATCGTACAGTGCTATCTGCTCGTCCAGACTAGCTATCTGACTGGTGAGTCTGTCCAGGTAGAGGTCCTGGTTCAGCTTGTCTTCCTCAGCCTTGGCCACATCAGAAGTTGTCTTCTCCGTGGCTCTGCGAGTCAGTGCAATGTCGCCCTGCACCGTCTGATGAGCCTCCGTCAGGAACCGCAGACGACCTGTCACCTCCTCAACCTCCTGCCGCAGCTCAACAGCTGAACAGAAGAAATGAAAGATTTCGAGTATTTTCTGTGCAAAAATATTCTCACTCTGTTGTCTTTCAGTTTTTAGAGTGTCCAGCATCTGTCGGTATAGGTCCTTCAGATGGTTCAGAATCCCTTCTTTCTGCTCCCGGAGACCTCGACTGGAGTTGACGTCGTCTTGCTCCCTCTCCAAGAGGACCTGCTGCCGAGCCAGCTGCTGCTGGACTCCATACAGCTGCACTCCCAGTCTCTCCCTCTCCTCCTGCACACTCTTCACTGTCTCTTGCTGGAGGTAGGGAGCTAGCATGCATTCTCCAGCACGATTTGGAAACTGCAGTTTGTTCACCTGTTTTCTCAAGTCTATCTCCAGCTTTTCCTTTTGTCTTGTCAGCTGGTCTTTGAGGGCTGCTTGCACTCTTTGCATTAGAGGCTACATCGGAACTTCTCATGACACCAGTTACATGAGTGGGAAGTGCTACACTACGCACATGGCTAGGGTCAAGCACTAAAAGATCCTCTTCTCCATCTTCATCTGCACTGCCCATCTGTCCCTCCCCAACCCCACCTCTGCTGTCTTCTTCTTCTTCTTCCATCACTGCAGCTATAGCTAGAGACAGTCAGGAATAATAAATATGGCAAGCTTACCTTCAGGCATAGTATCTTCAGCTTCTAGGGCGCCTGCACCAATGAAATATCATATTTAAAGCCGGTGCAACAGTAGCAAACTTTATTCTAAACCTGTAGAATCCGCTACGTCGTCCGAAGGTTCAGCCATGTTTCCAGTGCGCGCACTCCACGTTGTGTTTATCGGTTACCGTGGCAACGAGTATACTGCGCATGCGCATAAAACAACAAAACGGTCATTTCTTGAAAAAGTTGGAGAGGAGAGATTGTTTAGTTGCTTTGGCAGGTGATCGTTTCACTGGCTTCACAGATGCCACTGGAGCCTTCTTTCTCCCTCTGTTCAGAGGTTTTGTTTCTGAGTCACTCTCGTCAGTAGATTCACTCTCCCACACTTTCTCTGTCACTGGAGCACAGCAGTATATAGACAGTAATGGTGATGTGACAGTCTCACCCATGGCTCCATCATCAGTTGTGTACATCCGTGACTTTAGTCTCTTGACTCTCTTTCTTCTCCTGCCACTAGCTTCAACCCCAGCCTTCTTCGTTCCTTCTTTCTCACCAACATCACCTGCCAGGGTCTTCATTATAGTATATAGCTAGCCTGTCGTACCTTCCTCATCACTGGACATGGTGTTCTGGATGCGCTTTCTTTTCCTCTGCAGTGGAGCCGGAGGTGCTGCAAGGCCAAGCTGTACCACATTACAAAACCATCACAACTACACCTTTAGCTGAATGGTCTGCAGCTCTCTTCTTTCGGGCCACCTTTACACTATCAGGACAGTTCTCTGGTGAGACAGTGGAACTCTCAGTGTCCATATTTACCTGGTCTTTGGTTTGGGAGCTACTGGCACCACGGACTCCCCACCACTGTCAGAGCCATCTGCAGTCCATACATAGAGTGAGACCCCACCTGCTGTATACACACCCAAAAGGAACTGACTATCAATGTCAGAATCATTGAGATGCAACTTCTTGACTGAGCTCTTAGCCACTGTCTCTGCTTTCTGCGCCACAGTTTTCACAGTCTGTGGCTTGTTGAAGTAGGTAGCAACACTCCCTCTAGAGTCTTTCTTGCACTTGCTAGAGCTCTATATAATTTTCCACAAGATAGTGTGAATGTCAACATACAACTAAATACCTTCTTTGGATCAGGCTTTCTTGGCATAGTTTTAGTCACTTCACTCTTAGACGGCTTTGCAACATCTATATTCTTACAGTGGGCAGCTGAAAGATTAAGTGGACCATCTCCCACCTTTCTTAGTTTCTTTCTCTTTGACTGTCTTGGTAACCCCCCCTTCTGCCTTCCCTCCTCCCTCCTTCTTCAAGTCCAGTTGGGGAAACCTGTTTTTCTTGTCCAGAGCAGTGCTGCCATTCTTCTCCAGGGATGAAGAGTCCGGTAGATGAGGGTCAGTAGAGGCAGATGGTGGCATAGGCTCAGGGCAAGCAACTGGACTCCATCTGCACCAGAAATACGCACATCATAATTACCTGTGGCATTACTATGTACGGACCTGGAGTAGCTGGAAATGTGCTCCTTGCAAATGTCATAGTTTGCCATGAACAGAGTGCCAGAATCCTGACCAACAACTGATGTGGAATATGCAGAACAACGAAACAGTCCACAACTCACCTGTATTCTGGTTTTCTGGACACTGTACACATGGACACTCCTCACTGACTGAAAACCATTCTTTGCAGCTAAAGAAGAGATGTCACGTGCAATAATCAGTATGTGAGGTAAGATGGACACCCCACCTTCCAGCTCCTCATCTCTCACTAACAAGACTTGCAGCTGGGTCATAGGGTGCATGAGAGAAACATGAATCTTGGGACTGCCCTCAGAGCCTGCCTACCAGTTTCCCTCGATCAGTGTCTTTAAATCCAGTGATGACATAAGTTGCTGTAACACCAGACGATCCACCTTCCTCCACCAGATATGCATGCAGCACTCTACACAGACCGACATTCTGATGCTTGTAAAGTCGAGGATGAACAGCTCTAGCGACTCACTTCTTGGCAGCATCTGTTGGTACCTCCAACTTCCTGCTGAGCCACTTGTAGGTCACCTTTTGAATATTGGCATAATACATTACTTCATTCATGTGCTTTGCCTCACAATCCTGTTCTCATCTTCCACATACTCTCGCAAGTTCTCCAAATACAGACTGTCTTCCAACATCGCAAGCAGACAGCATGCGCTGTATCAACGTCTCCAACGCCAATGTATGTGCAGTGCTGCATGCTGGGGGAAAAACTGACGTCACGCGCACACGTTTCGGCGCGGCGGCGGCGGCGGCGCGGCGGGGTAATATACTGCGCATGCGTACCACTCGGAGATGTCGCAGTGTCGATCGGAAATGTCGAGCAGTAGTCAGCGTCTCCCGCGGCACCACTGCTGCCAAATACCACTGACCAGCTAATGTAGTTCAGGTAATTCTCGCAGTCTTGACGTCCGGCCTACTGTTATAGCTATAGTAGGAGCACATTCACTGTCGGCATCTCCCGTCAGTGTTAGAGAGCTCTGGCCGACACCTGCAGGCGGTGCCCAGTTGATCAAATTTTGGCGTTAGAGAATCTATTGAGTGCTGAAAATGTATAGCACATAACAGCAATAGGACATACCCCACAATATTCAGTAAGTACTTAGCACAAAGGCCTCAGTCGTCAGTGTGTCGATAGCGTGTTCGGCGATGTTGAGGAGTCCTCGGTTACAAACCCTGTGTGTAGTGGTTCTCCTCCTCCCTCTGCCTCTCCTCTACCTCCTCCACGTGGAGACGTCTCGTCACTACAGAAACACCCACGAGTCTCAGGCTATAGCCGTGCTGGATGCCCAGCTGTACAGATCTGAGCCCAGCTCTCTGCCTCCTGCAGCTGTCAGAAGAGTCCTAGTCAGAGATACCAGGAAGGTTCACGGCACCAGCCACTCAGATAACTCTGTGTTTCTAGCCAGGAGAAAGTGCAAGAGTAGAATCTGTCGCGAGTTTCTCACCAAAGCGGACATGGGCTACTTTGGTTATTGCTGGAGAAAGACAGGGATGAAGAGGGAGGTTCAACGCTCTCAGTGCAAGTTTCTCAACTCCACTTCTCGTGCTCCAGTGGCTCTGTCTAGTTTCCCAGGCTCTGGGAATACATGGGTCAGAGGACTCCTACAGCAAGTCACTGGGGTGTGTACTGGCGGTATCTACTGCGATACAAAACTTAGAGTCAGTGGGTATCCTGGGGAGTCACTCAGAAGTGGGAGGACCCTGGTTGTTAAGACTCATCAAGTCGATCCGAGATGGACAGGGGTGGTGTACCCTCCCAATACCACTGATAGCTACTTCTCTAAAGAGTCAGACATCCCTGTGTATGGATCTGCAATATTGCTGGTGAGAAATCCGTTCCATGCACTGGTGTCTGAATGGAATAGACTAATGAGCATCAATATGAGTCTCAGGGACCACCACATCAACAGTATGGACTCCAAGTTCTTTGGTAAGGAAACACTCTCTAGGCAGTACCTATAGCAAGTATATACGTCATGTTCTGTTATTGTGTGCAGCTTGTACCAGTACACGGCGTTCTTTGAACGTTCTGAATAGCTGTACCTTTGTGCCATAATATACAGTGTTTGTGCATACTCGCTTTCCTGGGTTCAGTAGACTGCAGCTGATGGTTGTTTAGAGATGTGTGTGTTTGAACTTTCCCTATGAAAGTAAACGTCCAACCCTGCATGCATGTGTTCATAGTGAACTGCCCATTCATTCGCTTACCACCTCACAAACAGGTCAGAATGCAGAGTGGGAAGAGTTTGTCTTCACTAATGCTGTCATATGGCAGGAGACGCTGGTAGGCTGGCTGGTCAATAACCACAACCACAGAGTCCTAGTCGTCAGATACGAAGACCTAGTCACTAACACTGACTCTGAGGTAATGATGATGCTGGATTTCCTCGGCTATCCTTACTCACTGTCAACCATCTCCAAAAGACTAAAGGACTACAACGAGTTCCGTAGAAGAAAGGCTAGCACGACCGAATTTGACCATTTCACTGCCAGTCAGGTGGAGTTTGTCGAGACAGTCATTGAAAACACACAGCGAATTCTGCGATCTCACAGACTGCTAGATACTGACATCACACATTATCTTCATACTGCCACATAATTGGAATTTACGTGTCTTTTTTGTCACCACTTACATGAACAGCACAAAGCAAAAGCACACAATCGTACACATAATTGAGGGGTGGGGAATATTGTGAGTGTGTATCCTGTCAGTGTCGGCTTTTCTTTGTCTTCTTGTGGGGGCTGCGGCTTCGACTCCTCCGCTTGCTCTTCTTGGAGGAGCGGTGGTGGTGATGTCGCAACGAGGAGGAGGAGGAGGGAGAGCGGTGACGATGGGAGTGCGGGGATTGAGAGCGGTGCCTCTTTGGACTGTGGGACCTGTGGACACAATACAGACATAAGTTAACAGCTGTGAGATTGAAAAGTGAAAGTATGGTATATAATCACGATGTAGGGATAGCAAAATAGATGAGGGGGTCAGCAAAATAGAGGCAAGATAGTTACCGTTTTGTTGGTGACCGGGAGCGAGATCGTTGTCGTGGAGATCTAGACCTCTTCCTAGGGGACCTTGATCGAGACCGTTTCCTTGGTGACCGAGAGCGGGATCGTTGTCGTGGAGACCGAGACCTCTTTCTTGGAGATCGGGAGCGAGATTTTTTCCTCCTCACTGGTGACCTAGACTTTGACCTCCGACCAGTGGGAGAGCGGGGAGGAGGGGGAGGGGGAGAGGGGGATGAGTTTGGGGGGTGTGGCTTGGTGACTTCGGGGGAGTGGCTTCGTGAGAGTTGTTTCTTCGGAGACGATTCCAGACTGTACTTGGCTGGGGAGGGAGGCAAAGGGGAGGGGTGAATAAATTGTGAATTGGTCCACTGATTTGGGAAGCTAACAACTATTTTTATGTCAGGAAAAAGATTGAGAGTTCATTCATAGCTGTGTGAAAATAATAATTGGTGAAACTAAAGGATTCACACCTACACACACCGAGGGTGGATGGGGAGGGCGAACGTGACCTCCTGGAAGTCTTCTGTTGCCGTGGGCTGCGAGAAGGCTCCACACTCTCCTGCATGAGTCTATCTCTGTACTTCTGCAGCCTCTCACTGATCTCGGCTCTGGAGTAGCTCCCAGAGGACTCCAGCGCATCAGACAGTTCCATCACCTTCACCTGGTGGGTTGGTAAACCCCTGTAATCAGTGGCTCGTTGAGTGAGGGGGGACTGACCTCGACTTCTCGGAGGATTTTTCTCTTCTTTTCATCAATCTCGGCCAGGAGTTGCTGTCTTTCTTTCTCTCTCTGTGCAGCTTCATCCTCTCCCCCTCTCTTGCCTCCTCTAGTGACACACATTAGCCGTACATGTATATTACATGAGTCAATATAAATCTACGTGCAGATTCTTTTTCTTGATATTATTATGCAGGGGCAAGAGGGAAATTCACCCCTTAAGAAGTCGAGAGTTTGGCACTGCAATCTTAACTAGGTACTCAAGATGGTTGTTTCGCCTATCCTTTCCCTTATGAAAATCGAGACAAAACGAGACTCACTTCTCCTCTTCTTCCTCACTGGAGTCATCCCCATAGTCCACCAGTTCCCACTTGGACCTCACTCCTGATGATGATGACATCACTCCCTTATTACCAGGGGCATCCCCCTCAACTGGTGGAGGCACACTCAAGATAGCTAGCAGTGAGATAGAGGCACATACGAGGTTCCCCATCAATGTTGTCTTTCTCCAGAGGAATTCCATCAATGTCAGCGTCAGCCATCGGCACACCATCCAAATCCTCTTCCTAAACATGAAACACAAAGACTCCGTAATCTTACTGTTAGATCAATCACTGTACACCTCCACAATGTAGTAAATTATACATACCTCCAGGGGCTCCCCGTCCAAATCAGCTCCACCCTGCCCCTCCGTTTCCATGTCGACCGGTACAGGTAGACCGCCCCCGGCTCGACTGAAGTCAATTGGCTGTGATTCTAATAGAGGCACACCATCGAGATTGGGCTCAGGGTCGTCGTGGGTGGTGTGGGTGGAGGCTTCGGGCTGCATCAACATGGCCACCGTTTGCTGCAGTGCAGGAGGACGAGCAGGACAAAGATATCGCATCACATTTGTGAATGAAAATGGAACCTCATGAGAAGGGACGGTAAAATAGCTAAGTAATGGTGGATACGAGGCTCACAAAAGCTCTCTGTTTCTCGGCCTCCTCCTGAGTCTTTCCGATGAATGTCTCTCTCAACTTGTCGACCAGGTTGAAATGGTAGACCGACATGGTGTCCCACGCCCTCATGCACGTCAGCACACGACGCTGAGTCACAGAGAAAGGGAGGGTAGGAGTTAGCAGCAACTATAGAGAGTAGCTAGGCGTGTAGTACCTTAAACTGTTCCGCTCTGATTCGTGACGAAATGTTCCTCAAAATGGTGTGAAAATGCTCCATGACTGTGACCAGTTTACCTTCAAACCTGCAAGAGACACAAGTCTCCCACAGGAGCTGTATGTAGCTGTGTTTCTCTCACCCTCTCCTGAAGGCAGAGGAGTTGTAGACGAAAGAGGTGCAGTTGTGGAGAATGTCATTCAGTAGATAGAGTCTGGCCAGTTTAGTAGGCAGTGGAGTCTCATTGATACACAGGCTCTCTGAGACACACTCCACTATCTGCATGTGGGGAGGGAATGGGAGGAGGGAGGTACACCAGTATCACCAAGAGTCTTATACGAATAGTAACGAGGTCGCAAGGCAAAGGCAAACAACACATACACACAGCAGCCACGTTGGCTAATGGATATGAGATAAGAGGTGAGCCACACCTCATCAGCTGAGTCCGAGTGTTCCATACACCACATCATGAGTCCACGGACACTCTCTCTCTCCATGGTAACCGACCGAAGCTTGTCCTCCAGATAGTCTCTGTTCCTATGGCAACACACACAACATGACAGCACAGCATTCTCCAGCTGTAGGCAAGGCATTCAGTTGGTCTGTCCTTTACTAAACAACTAAACCGCTGAGGGTGTTGAGAGAGAGAGAGGCTAACTTGGCAGAGAGAGCTCCTTTCTTGACGACCTCCTGGATGGGAGGCAGAACCTTGGACAGCAGGTTCTTCAGTGGAGGTGGTTTCCATAGCGACCCTCCATCAAACATCCGGAACTCGTCAGTTCTCCATGTCTCTGGTGAGTCTCCCTAGGTGACAGGGGGGAGTTGGACAAATTAATGAATTTGTATTTTTAACCTAGTCAATGGTTGGTAACATACGTTGAGGATGGAGAATAGTTTCCAGCGATAGTAGATGTGAGCTGGGCTTTGGTTGTCAAACAGAAACCTGCTCACAGGCGAGGGGAGAGAGAGAAGAGAGAGAGAGGTGGCAACTAGGTCACCACCAGTGAGAGGTCAGACTCACTGGTAGAGAGGGTTGCTCATCTCCCTGTTCATGATCATGGCCTCAAACATGGGGCCTTCTCGTATGACAAACTCTATCATTCTGTGGATGAGTTTCAGGAGGTCCATGTCTGTTGGAATCACTACCTTCACCAACGACGTCAGCAGCACCTGTTGGTACATTATGTATATAGGTAGTATGGGGTTGACGACATACACATGTGTACTTTCACATATGGCTACATTTGTGAAGGCATAGGCAGCAAAAACACTGTACTTTGTTTTGAGCTCTAAAGTAACTGTTAGGACACAAAAAAAACAGAATTTCGTATCGAGTAAGACACACACTAGAAGACACACCCTCTCAAAGTCATCGTCTTCCTCCTGACTGGCTCCTCCAGGTGGCGGCACATTCCCATATTTTGGAACCACCTCCCGAGCTCCTCTTGCGAGCCTGGGCATTAAATGGAAGACCGGAGGGAGGGTCGGGGACTTTGCTCGACTTCTCCTCCTCCATGTCCGGCGGAGTATAGATGGGGTGTGGGGGGAGGGGCACACACTTACCCCAGCCAATCTGGACATCGTACCCCATAATGGTGGTCCCTGTGAGCAACACATATACATCACTCAGCTTCGTATTACAGTCACAAATGTTTGCACTTCCTTTCATTTCAGTAAGTTCTGTGCATTTTATGGTTAGGGACTGCACATACTAAATTTTAAAGTGTAAGCTGAAAAACTGATTTGGGGAAATCACATGTAAAGAATGTAGGTGTGGTCATAACAGAGAGGACACGTCTCAAGCCTCCTGCCCGAAATCCTACCACCAGAGATGACATGATGTTTGCCAGTACACCCAGAACAAGCCAGGGTCAGGTGACATGGTGAGGGTCCCCCTGGCTTGACTTAATGGTAGGCATTTCATACCCCAGTGGGTGAAAGAAAAGAGTTGCAATCAGGTAGCAAAAATAATTCTGCAGTACATAGTGTCACAGACCCTTCATGGTGTCCAGAGCTTTCTCCGCCTCCTCTCTCTTCATGAAGGCAACAAAGCCACAGTTCTTGTTGCGGGCTCTCTCCTCCTCAGTTCGCGGCCACATCACCTTCACACTCGCCAGAGATCCAAACTTACCAAACTGCTGACACAGCATCTCCTCGTTCATCTGCAGAATCAAGGTCAACACCACCACATTAAATGTTCTATCTAGCTCCAACCATGTCTCTTTCCCCTATCTCGCTCCCAACTTTCATCTTTCCCCTATCTCACTCATATTATACCTTAGGGTTGATATTGCCGACATAGAGGTTGGTGGTAAGAGGGTCTCCATTGTCAAATGACCCTTTCCCCAACTCCTTGTATTCGTCCACCTTGAAATCCTCAGGGACCACTGGGTCAGGCAGGATGGGGAGAGGTTCTGATGGCAGCTCCTCCTCTCCCTCTCCTTCCCTCTCCTCCCTCTCTTCCCCTCTCCCACCTCCTCCTTCGCTGGGCCCCTTGGACCTCTGCCCGTGGCGTTCCATCCTGATCTCCTGACTTCTCTTCAACTCTTCTCTAAACAACTCCAGAATACTCTTCTTCTTCTCCGCCCCTTTTTTCTTCTGCACACAATGACACAAACACCTCTCCACATTACCTCTATTAACTAAATGGAGCTCATTTTGATTTTTTCTAGGAGCTGGGAGCCCAAGGCATATTTATCGTCAATAAGTGACAAGATATGGTAGATAAGGCTCGTGGAGGTGAAAGTTTCATTGACTCACTGGTGGTTTCTTGGTGAGAGGGGGGGCAGGAGGAGGGGGCGTGGCTTCTTCTGTTTTCTCTTCCTTCATGAACTTGCTGGTTGGTCTGTAGAGAGTACCACTTTGTCTACTGGACGATGACTTGGCTTGTACTCG